TTTGTTTTCACTTGATGGCGCGACGCGCGCGTGCTTTCGCCGAGAGTCGTGTTCGTCTTGGGAGAGCGCAGACGACGAGTCGCGCGCGGCATAGTCTCATAGAGAAGATGTAGGTGCGCCTCCACGTGGTCCAGCTCAGCTACGTTAACGCCGATACTTCGAACAGTATTATATCTTTCCTAAGATAAGCAACAAATTTTTCGTTGTCAGCCTCTTTCGATGATGGTTTTTCCAGATCACCCCTTACTACGATACCGACTACAATCTCTTGCGATGGCTCAAAGGTTAGACTTGGTCAATGGCCCACTCCTCAACGTCATCCTTTTGATTGATCATTCTAAAATAATTTTTAGGTCATGACTACAACCTCGAGATAATCACTCCTAAACTAATTAATCATTTAATGTTACGGAAGATGTGGGATCTAGACACCTTGGCTGACAAACCGAGGGATCACATCATTCACAAGCATTGGAAGGTTGACTGTCACTTTTGGTCTTATTTAGAGCTGCTTCACAATAAATTTTTGCGCTGCTCGGCTTGGGTGGGCATTTTGCACTTCCGCCGTTTTCTCTAACTGATTCCTGTTGACTTGAACTTCTCACCTTGATGAGGCTTTTGAAAAAAAAACATAAACAAAAAAAACGTAAACGCAAACAAAGCCCCTCATATCGCATTGTTTCACAGGAATTTACAAGTCTTTACTCGGCGGATCGGCAGCGATTGAGGAGCTAGCAGAATGCCCCCACCTAGCCAAAGAGCGCTTCACTTTCTAGAGTCCACTGAAGTGATCTTTATTGTCCTTCAGAGCGGTCTAACTGGAGAAGCTGTGAAAACGCCGAATTGTGTGGTGAATATTGAACAAACTGGAGGAAATGATTATTGGGGGACTGTTAAGCACATATCCGATCAATGTGATACTCCGGTAAGATATTCGTCTTTTTCAAAATCAATACTAAATGGTAGAAGTGAAAAATTCACATATACTTGTCAACCAATAGAACTTGTGCTTATTTGTTCAACTTTATAGCTGCTCCAAATTTTTTTCAAATATTTTTGTAGTGTTGTTCTCCGCGGATGCTAGAGCGTGTCAGACGGTTGGGATTGGCTCCTCGTTCTCGGGTATGTGGCAAGAGAATCGTAATTCGCCGCGCCAGTGGGCGTCGCGTGCGACGTCGCGCCCGCTAATGACGACGATTTTAGGTGGTATTGGTCGAGAATAGACAATGTATGACCAAAAATAGACATAAGTGTCCACCATGTCCTTGTCTACATGAAATCCGATGCTCCGAAGGGACAGTACAAATGAAGTCAACGTCGCGCCCGTTGCCGCGCGCGATAAAGCGGTACTTTACGGTTCTCTTGCCAGTCTCCCCTCGCTCTCCTCCGATTATTGAAGAGGGGAACGATAATGAATTGGTGGAAAACGTGCCGGCGCTTCACCAAAAC